CATCTGTCCATGACTAAATGACTTAGAACCACAACTTTCACTTTACAATAAATGGAAATTGAGACTATAGTGACATAACCTTAGATGTCTTTTATTATCAAGATATTTTATGTATCCAATGAAATAAGTATTAAGGATGGATTAATAATTCAGTTCATAAATGAGGAAACTTAGACTCATATACATCAAGAAAGAATTCATACTATATCAATTAATCAATTAATTAAATCACTTTGAATGTCTCCTCTGGGTTTAAGATTAAACATAGCCTGGGAAATATAGAACAAAAATTCCAAACAACATCCCAAAACATGAGAACAAATGAATCAAAGAGAAACAGCAGCAGAAATAGCCACAAAATCTGAGATAGGGTTCCTCACTCTGGGTGATCTCTGTATAATGGAAAAAGCATACAGTATACAAAAGTATATGTAATTAAAAATATCTGATGTTATAAAAGAAAATAAGATGCTAACCAGGTACTATTGGTATAGGCTTCTAGGTGTTTGCAGAACAATTCTTGGAGGACAGGACATTTAAAACAAAGCCTAAAATCTAGAAGTATTATTTCAACAGTCAGTAAAAGAGAAATACAGTATTGTGACAAGACTTTAAAGTGCAAAAAAGTCTTGAAATACTTGATAAGTTCTTAGGAGACATTCAAGATAGAAGCAGTTAAAATGTAATTGAGATTGCATTGATTGAGAAGGCCTCTTTTAAGGAATCTCTGAAAGAAAGAGGTCTAGCACTACAAAACAAAAAAGCGTGATGAAAGAGATGTAGGGAACAGAGGAGCTGCATGTTACACACCGAGGCAAAGGGATGGGTGGCCAAGGGTGGGTAGTGGGTACTACACATTACTTCCTCTGAAAGCTTGATAGAAAAAGATTTGGTTTTTCTCAAGGCCATCAAAGTGACTAGGAGATGAGAAGTAGGAGGAAATAACTGGCTGTTATATAAGAAAAAAGTTCTAATCATTTTACCTGCCCCATAAAGGAATCCACTAAATTTCACTCCATAGAATTGCAGTTATCATGGGGATACCCTGCTGAGAATGCTTCATTGGATATTTCTTTCCTCTCTTCTTCTTTTGGTCTAGATTATATGACACTTCAAACTCTATCCAACTCTAAAATTCCATTATATAGCTATATCCCAAACATATGGTTACAATATGGGCTGACTTCTAAGTATAGGCACTGACTCCTCTCCAGCACCAAGGACAGCGCTTCTCCAACTGGGTCTGCCTTGCTGTCTATAAGAACACCAAAGGGCAAGCATAAGATCAATAATCAGGCAAAAATTTCAACTTAAGTACCAGTGGATAACTCAATCTACATACAAACACCCAAAGAGACTCTGAAAATCTTGTTGTGTACGCCATGTTCAAATTTTCTGTGGCATGCATGGGCCTGGGAAAACACCCCATTCATTATCACTATAAAACCTACAAACTGTCTTTACCCTCATGTGATAGTCAGCACTTAATAAATCCACCTGGCTACAACAGTACTTCATCATTTTCCTTATTTACTTTGATTTCTTCCCTATTAGGATGTAAACATTATGCAGACACAAAGTTCTGTCTGCTCACTGTAGTTTTCCAGATTTTATTTTTTGCTTTTGTAACAAATAGTGTGTGTTTGATAGATGTTCTTTTAATTGATCAACTGCATCTAGTGTCTTTAATGGATTAATTAAAGTCACACAGACACCAGGGTTTTGTATGTAGGCTGGATTTACCATCACCAAGTAAGCTGATGAACTGACCTAATAGCCACAAAATGAAGATTGCTGGATTCTAAATTTTCTCAGGTTGTCCTGAATAAAGCTTGCAGGTAGCAGAGGGAGAACTGATATTGGCTGGTAGTAAGTTTTCAATCTGGTCCACACCCATTTTGTGACAAGTGACTCTTTAACCCCCTCTCCCAATTTGCTTTAGTCTTGATGGGCTTTGAAACATCTTTTGCATTAAACTTTGCAACGACTCATTTCACTGGGTTCTATTCTTCATTTTATCAGAGCCATTGTCTCATTTTTATGACTGAATAACACTATTTTATCTTTGCATCACCAAGCCTAATGTTTTCTTCTCCCATTCAAGTTGCTGGTTTTCATGTTTCTCTATAATATCCTTTGTATTCCTTGTGTTTCTTTATATACTGTTACTATTTTATTTTCTATTATTAGAAGGCTACCTGTGTGCCTAAAAACTATACTTCAAAGAGTCCCAGTGCCTACAGTGAAATAGTGATTATTTATTTTCTCTTGTCTTACAGGAGAAAATTAGGGATTTTGGTTCACATCTTTCCGTCTCTAGCCCATTCCTAATTTCTTGCTGACATGACAGTGAATTTTGGACCCAGATCACAATTGTTAGTTTTTACATTGTGTGCCTCCTCTTTATGTAATTGTTTTTTACATTAGCTTTCTGTTTTGTAAAGTGTTTTGGAATGATTACTTAGCATTAATGCGATGTCTAATTAGTTTCCTGCTCACTGTGGGTCTTTTATTCCATTTTCTCTAGTCTTGGTTTTTTTTTGTTTTGATTCATTGCTCAGTCAATTGTTCTTTGAATGATTTATTAGAAGCAGGGCATGGAGGTGGCTCTGTGTACCAAGGAGCATTCTTCCTGATGTATCTGCTCAAGAATAACGAATCTGGCAGGTTGGAACATATGGCTGATCATTCTCCAAAGCCCTCCTGATTTAACTGGACTGTCTTCTGGCCTCTATGATACACAGAACAGGGAAGGAACCAGACAGAGATCTGTTAGAGGAGGAATAGCTGTTCTGATCCTATGACCTTTGTGCTCATTTTTCCCAGTACAACTTAATACTAAAAACAGTAATTTTAAATAACGTGTACCCTTTTCTTTGCCAGAAAAACTCATTCTGAATGCCCACATCTAACCGCTTTTTCTTTCTCTCTTTTTGTGAGGAAAATCACACCTTCAGACAACCTTGCATAAGCATGTATCCAATACTCTTCATGCTGTTTATCTTTGCTGGAAATTATAATTCCACAATGGTAAAACAGATGATGTGGGGTAGAAGGTACAGGTAGTTCATGGCATTGTTCCTCTTGGAACTGCCTCAAAGGCAAATGCAGCTTGAATACCTGACTTGTTTTTCCTATGTGTCAAAACCCTGTATTTTCCAGAGAAGGGACTAATGCTGTAATATTTTGGAAGAAAATCATCCATTGGATGTTCCATATCACCTGACAGTCCTTTCAAAACCTATAATTCTTGGGTTAGAAAAACACCTGGGATAATTAGTCTATAGTATTCTTGATGTATAGCTAGCTCCCTGAGTAGTATCTGTGTGGGGATGTAGAAACTTGAGACCGGGCCATAGACTCTCATCCTCATTAGCAGACTGGAAATATAACCCTATCCATCCCTATGTGCTGAGAACTGAGAGAGCCACATCTTGTCAGAGAGCTGTGCTGAAGCACTACATAGGCCAGCATGGGATGCAGAGATCTGAAAGCAAGAAGGGCCCCCAGATGCTTTGGTCTGTGTTTATGTCTTCATGCTCAATACATCAGAGTGCTTCGCACAGAGTGGAGACCAGATGGACAGGTGGAAGGCAGTCTGGCAGCTTCTCTTTGTAGCTTTATACTCTCAGTGAGGAGTGTTGCTTGAACCAGTAATAAATGCAGAACTGAAATATCAAAGTGGAACTTAAATGGCCATGCGGACACTCTAAATGTTAATTAGTTCCTCGGTTCAGGTCTTTTTTCCCAGGCAGTGATTGGCACCGACAGGCTAAACTGTTTTGTACGCATGCCACCAGTCTTGCTTTGGTCTCAGCACTTGTTTGCAGTAAGCATGTAGCTTCTGCAGGGACATTGCATGATGCAGTATGTTTCAAGCTTCCTCACAGATCTGTAATCTCTTGAAGGACACATACTAACCACAATATGAACCACAGGAATTTGGACATCATAGTGGTCATTATATGCTTGATAAGTAAATTATGGAAGCTGGAATATGTTCATGGAAGGCACCCTGAAAAGGAGAATACTAACATATATGAAGTATTATCAGACAAGATATTCCAATGGATATTACTTAAGAGAGTGTAAGTGGATGGTGATAAGGATTGTATGCAATAGAAGCTAATACCTTAAAGGGTATTGCATTGCTTCTACAAATCCCTAAAAAGTATAATTGAAGAATTGTGTGAAGCTACCACCAAAGAAATATGAAATAATCACATTACAAAGCTTTCTTAGAGTCACAATCTCCACATTACCATCTCCTGAAGTTCTCTGTTATTTTGAGGCATTCAAAAAACAAACGCTGAAGAACTTTGACTTAATGTGGTAATAGTAACTGAAGCATATTGCATTAGTGTGGGTGGGGATGATCTGGAAAGTAATGGATGACCTTTGTGAGTTTTCCCAGCCTTGTGAATGTGTGCTGTTGACTGATACAACTACTGTACTAAGGAAACACTAGACAAAACAGTTTCTTCGTTTTTCAAGATTAAAAAAATATATTTTTGAATGTGATTCAGGGCTTGTGATAAGGGGATCAATCCAAAAGGTGAAGGAAAATATCTTCTTCCTGCATCTAGGCACTGATAGGCATTAGAACTACAGACACAGGAATCACAATGCAGACCATGTGATTTTTTCTCAAGTGTAGTGCCTCTTCCATACTCTAATACAAATTTAAAAGATTTTCCATAGAAGCCATACAAATAAGTGCTTTAGGCTTTATGACATACAGTTTCTATATTATAACTCCCCAACTTTATTCTTAAACATTAAAGCAACCATCAGTAATAAACAAGCCCAGGGGAATAGTGGCTGTAAAGTAAAACCAAACAAAAGCCAAAAATTGAAAAAAAATAAACAAATACAAACAAACCTTATTTCCAAATCTCAAAAATCATGAGAGGTGGATTTGGCTCCCAGGCAGTTTGTTAAACTCTGCTAAAAAAAGTTTGCACTCAAGAAGAGGAAAGTCCAAGTAATGACCTACTTACTCCATTTGCTTTGCTGAGGGCCTGGAAGTAGATGCTGTAGCTCTTCAGTGGCGAAAGGGGAGGGTTCCAGTAGCCATTGTAGGTCTTGTTGTCTCCCACTGTAAATGGCTGGGTGACAGGCAAGTTGGAGGGCTTCAGCTCAGCAGCAAAGTAGTGCAGAGAATCAAGGTTGGAGGCATTCCGATAGCTCACAGGTACTGAGAAACATTCGATGATGTCAGCTGCTCTCCGAGACTTCTGAAGCCGCTCTTCCTTGACAACCAGCTGGTAAACACTGGACAAGGAAGCAGAGAGGCAGATGAGTCACTCTGTGCACAGATATGCTCACTGTCAATCATTATATGTACATAACTCCTCTGGGAGGAAACACTGTCTTATCACTTCTGTCTTACAAAAAAAAAAAAATCCTTACTCTCTTTTCAGATTTTTATACCCACTGTTTTGTAGAAACCTATTTTCATGCAAAACTCCCAATGCCAGTTCATACAATACACATTCAAACTCAGCACAAATCAATATAAACATGATGCCCCTTCTAGGTGGATAAACTTTTATGAAGAACATGACTGCCATGTGACTGGTGCCCAGATCCTGAATCTGGCTCATTCTCAGGTGTCACCTACTTAGATCTCACTCTGCCACAACCAACAGGCTCTGTGGCCCGGGACTCAGCAGTGTTAAACCTGCCACAGTTAACTTCTTCCCATTGCTAATGCTCATGGCAGGCACTTTCCCACCTAGACTCAACTGGTTTCTTTGTTCCTAATTCATCTAATCATTCTATCTATCCATTTTGCTTCCAACCATACAACGCCATCTCTCTTCAGGCCATTTTATAGTTTTTCTTTTGTCCAAATTACACGATACTGGCTTCTGAAGCCTTTTGTACTTGGATTTCAGCTTGCTTCTCAAGGATCATGTCACAATGTCCACTAATTTCAACAGCTCCAGACACCTAGCTATTATATAAACATCCTTATGGCTGACCCTCTCCATCATCAGTTTGTACTTCCTCTACTTGAAACACTCACCAATGCTAGCTACCTCTGCCTATAAAAGACGTCTAACAATACCTATCTCTTTCTTATATTTAATCCATGAAGCCTGTATAGGTCTGTACAGAATGAGCTATTCCCAATACAGTCATCATTGCCTAGTTGATTTCACAAAAGCATAAGATGGGACACATGCCTCGCTGACTCCATTGTATCCTTAACAGAAGTGAGACTGTGGTGTAGTTATCTCTGAATCACTTTTCCCCTCACCCATCACACACATACAGTGCCCAGGAGCATGCCTGACTCGAAGCAAGTGATCAATGCACATTTGTTGAAATGAATAAAAGTGGATTGAATTAAAGTTGAAAGCAAGCATGAAGCCAAATCTGGATGGATACAGAATCTTTAATCAGGGTAAACAGTGATTCCCAGGAGTGCCTGCCAAGTAATCTCATATCATCCCCTTCAACTAAGAATATGAGGAAGTGCCAGCATGTGCATAGAGATGACAGCCTTTATTGAATATCAACCATATGCCAAGTGTATGATTTTCTTTGTGAAAGTTACTCAAAAGTTTGTGAATTGGATAAAAAGTCCTTATCCCTTGAAATGCTCTGTGTCCTTCTCTTGAACATCTTTTAGAATGATTCAATTGCACTCTGAGATGCATGATCTAAGACAGAAGTCCAATTGTCCAAAAAGTATAAAAATATGTTAATTAGCAAGGCAATTGTAGCATCATGCCTATTATTCAAGCATAATGTGCCATAAACTTGATGAAAACAGAGTAGTATGGGCTTTAGTCCTCTGGTTAGCTTATCCACCCAAGGACCCTGAATTACAAACCACGATAAGATACAGAGGCCAGGACCATTGCATTAAGGTGAACAAAGGCTATGAAGGAACTTCTCTCAAGATCATCTATTGATTCTCTCTGAACACAGGGATGCTCACTTGTGTGAATAATAAAGGGATGTATATGAGTGCATGCCATCCTTGGATGAACAAGAAGTTTGGGTAGACATGAGCCTATCTGTTGTCTTATGTACACCTAACAGCCCAGACTGCACATGAGTGACAAAGGGGTGAATGTGGCCAGTGTTACAGGAAGCATATGCTGCAGCTGAGCACCATAGCTTCCAAATGAGAGATTGTAGCCCCTGAATGTCTCACAATTAAAGTGATACCTAGAGTTGGTAAGATGGCTCAGGGAGATAAGGGTGTTTGCTAGCATGCCTGATGACTTAAGCTCTAGAACTTTATAAATATGGAAGGAGAAAACTGACTCCATGGAGCTGTCTTCTGATATATTATTAATATTAATAACACATAATAATGGATTAATTAATAAAAATACAGTGACTTACAAATAAATGCAGGTGAGTTTTTGTGTGGATGACATTGGAGCATGCTTAGTGCGAAGTGAGACAAGAGTTACACATGATTGTCTGTGTGAGAGCCTTTTATGTCCATAAAGACAGCTGAAGGCATTTGATGTATGAATGATGATTCTAACTCATTCCATCTTTATCTCTGGAGTCTTTCCTGAATGAAAAACCCTCATGTTTATCAGGTAAACTTAGTCATTTTCAAACAGCACAAAACCCTAAGACCTGAACCTAGAAAATGTGAACAGGAGTAGAGGGGTGAATGCAAAAAGTCGTCAAGACCCACATTTCTCTTCATGTAACAACAGCTTTAAGTAAAGCTTTGCATCTGTTAAGAGTGCTAATGACAGCTTGATTAATGGAGGGTCCTTTAGTCAAGGGGCTCTGATCATTAAGGAAAGAAAATCAGGAAATTTAGACTCTCAGGCTCCCTTCCAAGCCTAGCAATAGAATCTAACAATACTGTGTTCTGAATTTAGGTAACATGCCTTCTATTCAAACTTCCTATCCTGATCTATTTCCAACTAACTCACTCCATAGGACTTGCAAAGAACCTTGAGTCCCTGTTCTCTAAGATCTAGTCTGTTCTTCATCTTCTCTGTTCTTAACAATGTCCACAAGAAAAGACCATTCCCTTGGTGGTTCTCCTCTGTTTTTTTAACAATGTCAACAAGATAATACTTTTGTCTTGGTTTCTTAGCCAATCTTTTTATCCTACATTGAATCCCTCATGATCCATGGTTAATCACTTGAGACCCCAAAGTCTTTGGAGATCTTCCGGAGATAGACTTTCCTCTTAGAAACACTTTCTATAATCCTTGACTATCTTGTGATGGGATGGATCAAGACTAGTCCAGAGCTGGCTTCATGTACTACCCATCATTGCCCTGAAAGTGTAGCTGTGATGAGCTAAGAAAACAGGTCATTGCCGAGTTTTGGATAGTCAGTTGTTCCAGGATGTTGGAATTAAGTACAGCATCCACACAGGCTTAGCCGCATCATCCCTCATCTGGTTGTTAAGTTTGGTTGAATTGACAAGCAGATCTGTGATAATCAGGTTGAAGGGATGAGGGTAAACCTGAGAGGTTCACTGATCTATGAGTGTCAATTCAGCAAAAGCAGCTCTTCCCTCCTTCACAGTTCAGTTCCTTTTTAAAAAATGTTCTTTTCCCATAAGCCAATGTAATGCACAAAGGGCCACCTGAGCATTTTTTTTTAATGCTAGTAGCCTAAACTGCTTAGTTTGTATCCCAGCTCATCTGAAATCACAAAGAGGGAGGGAATGAGGGCATTTTGGAGGTTAAGCTATGTAGTCAACATATGGTACACATATGAATGGGATTACTATGTTGGAGCAAATTCAGCAGTTCCCAAAGGCTCACCGCATCTGCAGCTTATCTATTCAGACATAAACTGCAAGTGTCACCAGAAACCCATAAGCTCTTTTGTCAGATGAATCTGTCTGCCTGTGCATCCAGCATTCTCTCAACAACCAGGGTAGACAGGGCATCACAGTGACGGCATAGAGAAGGGAAATGGTGGAGGAGAGGAACAGGAGCATGATGAGTCCATAACTAAGATAACTGTTCTCACCATTCTCTTGAAAACACATTTATCAAGAGCTCACTGCTTTCATTTCTCTGGTAATGATAAGTGTATACCTAAATGAGAATAATCTACTTCAAAGTTATATCTCCAACATTGGAGAAGTAGTCACAATGAACTATACGGGGTTGTAGGAGTAGGCACATTTTAATATGAAAATCCCGGTGTCTTAAGAGAAAAAGAATTTAAAGTAGTTCAGGATGCATTTACTCATGCAGTTTCCTAACTATGTTGGTTTCTGTCTCTCCCAATGAGAAGGTGGGCATTTATGGTGTTTTATTTGCACAGCTTTCCCTGGGAGTCTCCCCATGAGGGCTCCAAAGGTTGTGCTGTGTCCCAACTCCATTTTAATTAAAGTAGCTTCTAAAACATCAGTGAGAGTGTGCATTTTCTGTTTTAGCACATCATCCCATTGGAAGCAAGGGCATTCCACTCTGTGCCAGGTTTTAAAACCTCCCTTGCATGTAGAACCTATAGGATTCCTCCAGAAGCTTTGCAAAATATGACCTCTTGACCATCCTGCAGTCTGCGATGTCAAAGCAAAGAGTTTAAATAGTGAGTTATACCTCTCACCTGATTCCTCTGATGAGACACAGTCAACTTTCCATTATTAAAAATTCTAGTGCCTCTTTCTGTTATTTTCTGTACATGGGGCAGATGCCTACACACAGATGTAATACCCATCCAAGATGTTGATTCAGCTAACAGATGGAAAGTAGGCTTCAGTTCCCAGGTGAACATTGCCCAACTTTAGGCAGGTGCACATTTTGGTCTGCGTTCTCCCAGAAAAAGACATGTGTTAGCTCATATTCCTCCAGGGACAGGCTCCAAGTCAAATGGCGTGTTATAGAAATGGTTCCAAGATAAAATGGAAAGGGAGGAAAACAGGAGAAAAAAGTGGGTGAACCAATCGGGGGGCATCTTATCAGGTGAAATCCTGAAATCCCAGTCCCATTCCAATATCCCCAAATCTCAAGCCAAAGTCTTTGAACCTCCAGATGCAATCTATTTTCAGATCTGGGCATTCTCAGGCTTTCTCAACTATTTATGTGGGTCAGACAATGAAGTCTCTAGGTGCCTAATAACAGCCCTTCAAAGAAGGTCACACCTGAGAATCATTATATCAATGCACACAACACCTGGGAGTCTGGCACAACATAGGAACGGGGGCATGACAGATCTACAGGGAACAGCAGTATGCCCTACAGGGTGCTTTTAAACAGTGTCCACATGGTGTAAATGAAACAGTGATTCAGTGCTGAGAGAACAGCCTGGAGCTTGGA